ACTTAAGCTATTTCGATGAACTATGAATAAGTATATATATATATATATATATTTGTTTTTTTTTTGTTTAAAGAAAATTTTCCAGTTTCACTGTCTACCTCTTTATTCTTGAACTGATGAAAATACTTAACTTTGTCTTAACATGAAAATTTATCAGTTCTCCATGTTCAGCTGAGAACTGGAGTTGTGAGTAATGTCATCAGTCTGTCTAGGTAAGTAATATAGAATATAGCTTTTCGTGATATACTTAAATAATGCTTTACGATCACAACTCGAAAAGTATATACGTAATAAAGAAAACCTCTGGAGAAAATCAAGTATACCATGTCCGAATTAAAGATCAACAAGACAAGTTGTTTTCTATCCAGGTTGAGTATTTAGAAGACATTTATTATATCTGTTAATCTTCAAATCTGTTAATAGTCAAAAAGATCGTAATATAATTTATATTTCCTTTCCTATAACGTCAAAGAACAATAAGGCAACTTGTTTATTAATTACCGGTTGAGTATTTAGAAGACATTTATTATACCTGTTAATCTTCACACCTGTTAATATTCAAAAAGATTGTAATATAATTTATATCTCCTTTTTCTTTTCTAAAGCATCAAAGAACAATAAGGCAACTTGTTTATTAATTACCGGTTGAGTATTTAGAAGACATTTATTATACCCGTTTATCTTCAAAAAGATCATAGTATAATTTAGACCACTTTTTTTTTCGATACCAAAGAGTAATACGGTCTAATACAATGTTGTAGAAATACCATTCTTCACTGCCTATTCTGGTGGTTAGAGATGTTAAATTTGGTGATAATGTATCAATGGATGTGTTAATTAATTGTCGATCTTTCTCACATATTTCTAAGCCTGCTTTTTGCCTAAACTTACCAGAAAAAAATTGTCATATTTCTGCTAAACATTCTTACCTTGAGCAATTTAGTCAACTTTAAAAAATTGCTTATAAAGCTTGAGATGTATCAAGTGTTGGTTTTAGGTTTATCCTGTTGATTCAGTTAATAACCAAACTATTAACAAGTATACTTGAATCTGAATCTTAATTGAATGAATAATACAAGTATCCTTCTTCATATACTAGCCTCCTGCTAACCAACTGTATAAAACTACACATTTACTTCTCTTTTATCGATAAAACATTTGTAATCAATCTTAGTTAAGGAAAGCTGTTATGCTGCGGTGGTATTTTATTAATAACAAATTTTTACAAAATTTACATTTTCCATCTTATTCAATAACAACATTAGAAGCATAAATCTGTGTAGCATACCTCCTCCAATGGCTTAACGGTAAGGTTGAAGACTTATCACGTTAAAATTCAATGTTTAATCCTTGCGGTAGACACAGCACAGATAGCCCATTCTTTAATTTTTCATTTAAAAAACAAAAGTAATATGAAAATATGAAGGCTGGCTCTCCCCTCTGAGATACTAAAAACGTAAGAGTCATATATATCAATAAGAATCGGAAGACGTTACTTTAGCAAGTATTTTAGAAAAGGAAACTCTATCTAGATCTAGACACTCTTCAGTGAATTCTCTTAGTAGGCGAAAGAACAAAAGCATTTATGATTCCTAAAGTGAATAAGAGTTATTTCAAATGTCTTTTGGAGTTCCTTATGGTTTATCGATCTCTGAAAGCAGCGGAGCAGGAAAAGTAGCTATATCAACTAAGGTTAATAGAAGCTTTTGGTAAGCGGCAAGTTGATTTGTTACAGTTTGGTTAAGAAGATTTATCATTCTTTAATACTTTCTACTTGAAGTCTCTTCATGGTACATTGAGTTTAAATGCAAACTCCCCATTTGAATGAAGACAACTCAAACAGCAAGACAACTACAGGAGGCTGACGGTTTCATTTGCTGAGCAAGCACGTCTAAAGAGGACATGTTAGGGGATAAGCCAACAATTAAATATTTTTAATGCATGTGCTAAGTTTCGTTAGTTTCCAATATAATAGAACAAGAAGTTTTATATGTTAGTTCGTAATTTGTTATTCGAACCACAGGTTAGCATCATAATAATATTACCGGAAACCCTCCATAGTAAACAGTTGGTACCACAGGTATCAGTACTTAGGTATTAAAATTGTTAAGAGCAAGATTCCTATAGGCAACGTGACATATAAGTTTTTAGATGTATACACACACACACACACACATCTATGTAGGGAAAGTCTGTTTCTGTAATGAGCCCAGCAGAGGGAATAAAATATGAATTTTGGCATTACAAGCCCAGAACTTTACCGCTGAGTCACGGAGTTGGGTTGAGAAAACATAACAAACAAATCAGTTACGACTTCTCGTGTTTAATTTTTAGTTGTTTTTTTATTTTAATTTCAATAGGAGAAAAAAAACTACTAGTTTTTCAACTATACTATTTCTCGGCAAATCAAGAATATTTCAAACAAAGTCGTCGTAAAAGGATTTAAATATTTTACACCTCGTTAATTAAGTTCAAATTGGTTTTAGAGAGATACAGTGTTTTTCAACTGTGAGGCAACTTGCGAGTAAATTGCAAATGTTTTTAAGATGAACTCAAGTATTTGTGGTTCAGGCTGAAAGTATTTATTTTGAACCTGTCTTCAACCCAATTATTAGTTTATTAGTGTTTCGTTGAGCTAAGCCGGTTCGCTTTCCATCCATAGTTTCATCAAACTGTTGGTGTATTTCTTAGTCCTCTCAGTTGTATGTCAGTCAGCTAGTTAGTATGATTATCTTTAGGTTCGTTTGTCTGACCATTAGTCAGAGCAGCTTCTTGGTCTATTTCTATGTTTAGCTATCTATCTTATTAGTCTTTTTGCTGTTTGCTCATATGCATAAAGTTATTGGTATTTATAGATTTCAAGTTGACCCTCCTGTGTCAACGGTAAGTTTATGGACTTAAAAAATTAAGATACGGGGTTCGATTTGCGCGGTGGACAGAGCGCAGATAGCCCGATGTGAAGCTTTATGCTAATACCTAAAACATAGTTTCAAGCTATCAAATGGCATAAGTAAATATGATCATCTGATTAGTCTACAACTACTTCTATTTCTATGCATGCGAAACTCCCGGTGGGACTGCGGAAAGATTACGGACTTACAAAGCTGACATTCGGGGTTCGATTCCCCGCGGCTTTGCTCTAAGAAAAAACAAGCAAACTGTGAATATGAACACATCTCTCCCTCTCAAA